GGCTGAGGATTGCATGGTGTACCAGTTCTGAGAGATTTTTTAAATGTTTGTAAAGCACTGTGGGAACAACTAGGAATAAAATCCCAGTCTTCTAAGGCTTTTTCTCAACTCAGGCGTTTAGAAGTGTGCTGATAGGTACCTGACCCAGAGGTTTATAAATGTGTTCCACTTTCCCCAAGGACAGTTTTTATTTTTACACTAGAGTTACTTCAGTGCAGAAGTTTGAGAAGCGTTATTTTAAAATAAGTTAAATAGAAAGACTAGAATCAATATAGGACCATATGAAAAAGGTGGAGAAAACTTAAAATGTCAATAAAGTGATACAAGTTTGGGCAAATAGTACCATTCCTATTGCCCATGTGACCCGTAGCAAGTTAGATTGCTCCTGGAGACGAGTACAAACTTGGTGCTCTGGAGGGTCTTTCACATAAGAGTATGAATTAAATTGTTGTTGTTGCCATCGAGTCAGACCTGACTCATAGCGACCCCTCCTTGGGTTTCCAAGGCAGTATCACTATGGAAGTAGATTGCCCAACCTTCTTTCTAAGGACTGGCTGGTGGGTTTGAACCACCAGCCTTCTGGTTAGCAGTCAGTGCCTTAGGCACTACACTACCAGTGCTCCTATTAAATTGTTAGTGTTAGTGTTCCTTTATTTATTGTTTCGCTTTGTAGAGTCTAAGTATAATCCTATTTTGGTAATTCCCACTGTCATTTAGAGGCTTCTGAGAAATAGAACAAATATCTTGCCCAAAATAGTATACTTCAGACTTGCCGCTCCACCTTCCCCATTTTGCCCACTGGTAGGCCACAAATTGTTAAGCAGTTGAAAGGCTGGCAGTTTGAACCCACCCAGAGGTGCCTCAGAAGACCACCTGTGATCTGCTTCTGAAAGGTCACGACCCTTGAAGACCCTCAAACAAACAAACTCACTGTCATCAATTTGATTCTGACTCAGTGACCCCCTTTGGGTTTCCAGGGTGGTAAAACTTTACAGAAGCAGATTGCCCCATCTTCCTTCTGCACGGTGGCTGGTGAGTTTGAACTGCCAACCTTCTAGTTAGCAGTCAAATGCCTTGGGCACCACACCACCAGAGCTCCTTTTGAAAACCCTGTGGAGCAATTATACTCTGCACACTTGGGGTTGCCATTAATTAGAATCAACTGCAGCTAACAACAGCACCAACAGATCTGTAGAGCTTTGGAGGTGATGGTGGGAAGCTCAGGAGTGAGGACTAAAGACAGTAGTCTTCAGGTGGTTGAATCTAGGGGGACTCCTGAGATCTTAACTACCTAAAACTTTCCAGAGCCTCCTAACTAGTCTTGAATCTTACTGCCCTTTAATATATTTGCTATACTTTAGGCCAAATGATCTTTGTAGTGTCTATCTGATTATATTACACCCTTCATTGACTTCAATTTAAGTTAAGCTTAAATTCCTTAACATGAATTACAGGGTCCTATATGATGTGGGGGAGCTCTGGTAGCATAGTGGCTAAGGCACTTGACTGCTAACCAGAAGGCTGGTGGTTCAAACCCACCAGTCACTCCTCAGAAGGAAGTTTGGGCAATCCTACTTCTGTAGTGATACTGCCTCGGAAACCCAAGGAGGGGTCGCTATGAGTCAGGGCTGACTCGATGGCACATAACAACAACATATGATGTGGCTCTTGCCAACCTCTCCAACCTGCCAACTCTGTGGCCCAGCCACATCAAATTAATTTTACTTCAAAAGGTGGCAGATATTTTAGCCCTGGGGTACTTTTATTACTACTGTCTCTCTGGCTAGCTGTTCCTCTTAGGTGCTCCATAGCATATTGTAGATGTGTGGAATGTGTCATCTTGTGACATAAGCACCTCTTATTGATCTGAATGCCTCTCCCACCCCTACTCCCATAATGTCTCTGAGCTCCTTGTTCATTTTCACCAAGGCCCAGTGTAAAATCTGGTCTGTAGCTATTTTGAATGAATGAATTATGTCTTAAAGTCCTTTTCTTCACAATATGATAGATTATTAAGACTTAGTAATTCTTCTACAGGTAGTTCATGACTTAAAATGGGATTCTGTTCAGATGGTTCGGTTGTAAGTTGGATACCTCATTTTTTTAGTTTTCATTATAATTGCTTTTTATAATCAGTGTTTTTATAAATCATAACATTGAACATCTGCTAGTGAACGTCTGAGAATGATGGGGTCAGCAGATTATATGCTGCAACACTAGCACATATTACCAACAATGAGATGTACCAAAAAAAAAAAAAAAAAACCAAATGGCCATAAGCACAGTTTGCCATGACTTGAATACATTGTAAGTTGGGGATTACTTGTATTAGGTCTCTCATGTATATCCCTTCTTTTTGTTTCCATTGCCACCACCCTATGTTGCATCTATGTATGTTCAGGACTTCTTTATCTCACACTT